ACTTTGGTATGAGATAATTAATTATAAGAATATTCCTATAGTTTGTGTTTTAACTGATTGTTCAGACACTACACCCATCGGAAGAATACTAAACCGATTCTCTCGAGACATGGATGACTTGGACGGGAAGATAATGTACTCATTGCAGGCAATGTTACTTAGATTCATGGGTTTAGTCATGTCGTTGGGAATAATCAGTTGCCAAATGCCACTCATTTTATTACCTATACTCCCAATTATTATGGTGTATGTCTGGTGTCAACGGCTATATATCGCCAGTTCCCGACAAATCAGACGAATGGACTCGACCTCCGGATCCCCTATTATTAGTCATTTTAGCGAATCAAACGCCGGCACCTCTACTATCAGAGCGTACGGCGCGACCAAACAGTTTATAGGGAAGTCTAACCGTTTGATTGACAAAAACAATAGCTGTCATTACGCCTTCCTATGCGGGAATAGTTGGCTCACAATACGACTCGACTTTTTAGGCAATTGTATGGTGCTTTTGACGGCTGTTTTCGCCATTGCTTTCAGAGATACTCTGAGTCCAGGGATGGCCGGTTTGACCATCACTTATGCCTTAAATATTACGCTAATTTTGAGTGGTTTTGTGCGCGGTTTTTGTAATACCGAGACTTTTATCGTCTCTATTGAGAGATGCCTTGAATTGACTCAAACACCCGAAGAGGTATTCAATGAAAAGTATTTATGGTTTTAATGATTAATAACTCATTTTTATGTGATTTGAAGGCCGAGTGGTTTAACGATCGGACAAAACCGCCGCCCGATTGGCCACTAATGGGAGGAATAGTGTTCTCCAACTATAGCACTAAATATAGACAGGAATTGGATTTAGTGCTCAAAAACATCACATTAGATGTCAAACCGAGGGAAAGGCTGGCAATAGTGGGCCGAACCGGTGCTGGAAAGTCATCCCTGGCTTTGGGTCTCTTCCGACTNCTGGCTTTGGGTCTCTTCCGACTCATTGAAGCCACTGATGGGACGGTTAGTATCGATGGCATCGACTGCTCGACAATAGGTTTGCATGACTTGAGGTCTCGGCTAACAGTCATACCTCAAGAACCGGTACTCTTCGCGGGCTCTTTGCGACACAATTTGGATCCATTGGATCAGTGGTCAGACAAAGAGATATGGAGTGCCTTAGAGTCGGCACATCTGAAGACATTTGTGGAGAGTCTGAAGAGTGGACTCAATCACGAGATCTCTATCGACGGCGAGAACGTGAGTGTCGGACAGAAACAGTTGGTCTGTTTGGCGAGAGCTCTGCTCAGACGCACCCGAATCCTGGTCTTAGACGAGGCCACCGCTGGTATGGCTGTCCCTCACATACACTGACATCACATCCTAATAATGATTACTATATTTGTGTTAATTAGCGGTCGATATGGAAACGGATGACTTGATTCAGAAGACAATCCGCGAAAAGTTTGATTTCTCGACAGTCGTGACAATCGCTCATCGATTGAATTCAATCGTCGATTACGACAAAGTGTTGGTTTTGGACAACGGATTCATCGCTGAGTTCGGGTCTCCGGAACAGCTCTTGACTGACAACAACTCCATCTTCTACTCGATGGCCAAACACGAGGGCATTGTCTGAATGTCTCAATAATGTTAATAAAATCACTTTTAACTTCTTAGAAGTTTACTGTTTTTAGTTTAATGAAAGAAAATATGAAGTATTATATTAGTACTAGGATTTATTATTTTTTACTCAAAATTTATAATAGGATGGATGGATATCCAGTTCCACAATGATTTGAGAATTTAGAAAATTTATGGAAAATGACATAATAGCTGTAAAGTGCTCAATATCCTACTAAATCCCATGTTGAACTTAGTAGACCGATATATGGCTTAAAATTTAACTTATTTTTGTTAGGCATGTTATTCAATTTATTAAATACTATTACAGTATTGAGTATTTTGTATTAAAATGTGTTTTAATTAATCTGTATTAAATTAAAATATTGATTTACAAATGCATTATAGACGAGTATAAGAATTACGGTATATTTAATTTATAAACACTTTTCAGATTAATTAATAATTATACATAGTTTATGTACATTTTATAATTATAATAATATTAATAAACACTTTTTTAGAATTAATTATATGTTAAATTAAATAACAAGGTAGTAAGGGCCAAATAAAGTCAAATAAATTTTAGGGTATTAAGTTAAATTATATTAAATTATAAAGTATTAACTATTTATTGTAATATAAAAAGTTTTACTAAACATTTATATAAGACAGTCACTTTATATGATGAAATGCCAAATATTATTATATATACAGTATATATGAATTGAAATGTGTGATTCACATTAGTACGTAGAGTGAGAGGAAGGTGTGGGGGAATGACCAAGTTTTATAATTTGCAAGTCATACAATATTACAGGCGGCTCTCAAGTATTACGGCTGTATACAAATGACCCTTAATGTAAACGAAACTAAACAATGACTTGTAGATCGCCCGTGTTTGCCTTAAAAAGGCAGCCATAATTTCATATTTGGACTTTAAGGATTTTCTTATTAAATATGAATGTACTTTCAAAGAGGAGTTCGAATATCTTATTTATATTGTTCTGTGACTTCGGATTCGGCTGCAGTGACCACTTTTATCGGCAAATGTTTCCGTTATAAATATGGTCATGTGACATAGCAATTCAATAGGGTTTTAATTGAGAATACAATGATATATGTACAAAATTGATAAACTTAATAATGAAAAAATGCCAAATTAGTGACGAAAAATGTTAAAAACCTCAATAGTTCTTTTAAGTTTTCTTAATTTTAAATAGGATTTCTAAATTTTTATTTAAACTATTGTCATGAGTTATGACTGTCAAGGTCTGCTAGTTATGACAAGACTCGCACAATACGTGCTCATCAAATGCATCGACAGTAACTTCCATTAATCATATCAGTAGTGATCTTTAGATAAGAAATACTGTACTTTATTATAGCCAATGATTGACTTTCTTTTTATTACATTTGACTAATATTTTTCTGTATAAGAAACACATTTTTCAATAAAGACTTGAGTCCTTTTTTGTTATTCAAACGCTTCGTTTATTCTCATCCCCTCCTGCATACGGTAGAGTCTGAGTGCCTGACGGCCCGAAGCGTGACAACAGGACCCGGCTATCATTTTAAGCCCTATTTTATAACTATATTTTATACAATATTTTATACAATATTTTATACAATATTTTATACAATATTTTATACAATATTTTATACAGTATTTTACAGTATTTTCTACTCTTAATTCAGTTTTTATTTATAACGAGTCAGGCGTTGTTCTGATCCCTGGATTGAGTGTCGACTCAATCCCGGAGCGAGTACTGCTGAGCGCACACACCACAGGTGTTGTGCAATAATTTCTTCACGCGTTGCATGATTTGGTCACCGATTTCTGGAGCAGTATCTCGTAACACTATCATAATTAGTGTAAAATTCTCTATCAAATCGATATTTCACATATATTACATGTCAATATTTACAACGGAAACATTTCCAGATAAAGTGGTCAACCCCGGCTGAACCCGAGGTTATATGACAATATAAATAAGATATTTGAACTCTTATTTGAATGTACTTTCATATTTAATAAGAAATTCCTTAAAGTCCAATCATTAAATTATGGCTGCCTGTTTAAGGCAAACCTGGGCGATCTACTAGTCATTGTTTACTTAGCATACGTTTCGTTTACATTAGTGGGTCCATCTATATACAACCGCAATACTTTAGAATAGCCCGTAATATAACTTTCAATTTATAATTAAATATTATTTAAATTTGTGAACAGCTATTGATTGCAACACTAACTAATACATAAGTGTTGTCATGATTAGCTGCCGTTTTCAACACAACTACAAGTGCTGGCATACAAATATATATATTTTTATTCATTCATATTCAATATTACGTACTCATCTGAATGCCGTCAAAAAATTCATATTGCTTCCCCCATTTGAAATTGCCTGGTATATTTACTGTACTACAGGTACAAAATAACCATATAAATGATTACACTCTAGTCGAGTGCAGTACAAATATAAAACAATATTTTCAAATGTACAAGGACATTCCAATTAGAGTACAATACGATTATTATGTCAAGCAATTTAATGTGATGTTCGAGTACATCTAAAATAGATTGTGCAAATGTAGTTGAGAAATGATATCTTATTAACTGTAGTCAACTTTATTTAACTTTATTTTTGTTGACTTCTGCGAACATATTCTCAGAAATTCTAGCATTAAATATGTTTTTATTACAAATTTGTTAAGAAATATATTTTCATTTGCAGGAATTATATGAAATAATATTATAATAATTTAGTGATAAATAGTCAATATATTAATATCAATAGTATTATATTTAATATGGCAAACTTGGTTTATTAAATTAAGAGCACATGTACAAGTACATGCTTATTGTACAAGACTTGTACTACAAGTATCATATAATACTGTATTAAATGAATGGTAAGTTAGTTATGTTATCGCTATAATAAATCATAAATATATTGATTCCGTTGTTAACGTTTTCACATCGTTTTCATTACACATGTTATATAAATTAAAAGTTATATAAAACGTGTGCTTTAAGTAAATATTTATTATTCATTCATTGCGTAATGAATTGAATGTAAAGCCTATTTATTCTTGACATAAATACCTGTCATTGCATTTATAGCTATTTATTGTAAACAAACATTTATTAGTAATTCCTAACGACTCATCTCATTGTGATAATGGGCACCAAATTTTGTGGCCAAAACTTTTGGGTGAGTCTCGCTATTATGAACAGAATATTCTGTACTATAATTCTATGTATTCTTTAAGGATTTGAGTCACACCTGGAATACGGACTCAATTCCGGAGTTCACGCTATGTTTCGAGGATACGGCGCTCGTTTGGATCCCATCCCTCATACTATTCATTACATCACTATATGAATGGCACAGTCAGTCCCGGGCCACCAGACATCCCAGTCCTTGGACTGTACTATCATTGACCAAAATTGTAAAAAAAAGTTTTGTTTAATCTTGTTCATAATTTATTAATTATAAGTTTCCTGAAGTTTTTAACAGCAGTGCTGTTTGCGCTAAGTTTGGCTCAACTTTCCAACGCAATCATTAAATATTTAAATGATTTTTATTACTCTAGAAATTATGTCGAAATTATCACACCGTCTGTAATGACAGTAACTTTCGTGAGTTTTGCAAACTTTGTCACAATTCTTAAACAAAAGTTTTTGAATAATTTTTAATTTTCAATAGATTTATGTACTAATCTTAATATTAAACCACAAAAGACATGGACTCAACTCCTCGGGAGTATTATTCATATTTTGGTTACTTTTGTCGATGGGAACGGCGTTTAACTACTGGACTATACTTTCGATGGCATTCAGTAGTGATGTATTAAATAATAACAATAATAATGTATTGACTGAGA